TTTCTAAATTTGATTCACTTAGAATAATTGTAAGAAGCCATTGATTTAATCGTTTTCCTCCCAACTATATCAAAACTAGTACATATGGGAAACCAAAGGGTTTTAACCTGCTGTTTATTGTGTTTCTTGTGACAGCACACAAAAAGAAACACCAGAGGCAGCGCAAAAAGCGGGATGGGAAGTAGTAATTTTTCTTTTTTCTTACTCACATGGAGTTATACTTCTCTTACTCAAACCCATATAATTTCCCTCTTGTCACTCCTCGTGTATGCGGCCTTGGTCTTTCCACAAGCTATTGTGCCTAAGCCTTTATATGGCCTTTGGAGTAGCTTTTTGTTCTTTTTTGCAAAATGGAACCAAGAGTTCACTACAGCCTTATGAAGTACAAAAGTAAGAGTAATAGCTTTGGAAAGGCAGGTTGGTGATGGGATTTCCAGGTACAGCCTGCATGAATATCACTGAGATGAATGTACCAGTTACTGAAGTAGTTTTAGACATTGTTTTCAGACTATAGTGTAGATTTGCCTGCAAGAGTTTTGAGTTTGGTTATGGATTTGCTTTGGGGTTTTTTGTTGTTTACTTAAAGTATGAAAAAATTCTAATGGGAGAGAAAGCCTTAAATATTGTAAATTGGATAAAGTGGATGTTATTGATACTGTACATTTCCAGAGCAAGGGAATAGGAATCACTGATGTCCCAGGTATTTGTATAACAGAAGTGGTATAAAGGTAGTCACTGAATTGTGTTAATACTTTTCTAGGAAACTTTTGTAGTATTATTCATAGAACTTCTAAGTTTTGCTCTTGGACTTAGTTGGGATGAGTGTGTCTTGCTGGAACTTGAGCCCTCTTGGTTTAAGGAAAAATATATGTTCATGGCCACAGATTTCTATTTCTGTTGCCTATTTTTTGAGCACAAATGTAAAACATTTAGATATGGACCAACTTTGAGTCAATTGACTTTGGTCCTTCCGTTTTAGGTATTGCTGCTTTTTACTATTTTGAATAAGTGTCAGTGCCCAGCAAATACGGCACAAGGCCATCGGTACCACAAACCCTTCCCTGAAATGACTGGCCACTTCTGAAAGTCCATCATAATCTTCTTGTTCCTCAGTCCTGTTTGTATGTTTACTTCTACTTAACCTTGTATGTTTACTTCTACTTAACCTTGCTCACTAAGTTTCAAAGAATACTTAAAGCTGTAAAGCATTGTGGTCCTGTGGGTGAAAGGTGGTGCTGTGCACATTTAGTTTTGTTTCCTTGTACATGTTTCACTGAATTTCACAGTCAATCTTTGACACCAGGCAACTGTTCTAGATATACATCTTTACAGTGTTTGCATCAGTCATGCTACACTTCTAACATGACAAATGGAGAGTAATTTTAAAATTTAATTTTAAAATTGTTAGGTAAACAGTAGCCAATTTGATAAAAGCTAGGTAAACAGTAGCCAGTTTGGTAAAAGCTGGGTAAAAAGCTAGTGTGTTGGATGTGCCAAAGGGTATCTCTTCCTTTATAACGTATAAGTGGTTTTACTGTTTGGAGTTCAGTTTTTACATATTGTCTTATTTCTTGATACTCATCTTCAGACTTGTTAACTTTGCAGTGTCTTTACAACATGAAAAATAAATACATGATAAGCATTGTTTATACAGTAAACACTTCACAAGGGAAATTTTGTGCTTATTTTCGTCTTATCTCTTCTTAACCTAATTCCTTGGGGTAATGCAGGGTTCCCCTCAACCACAAAGTTGAGAAAATGAGAAGTTGTCTCTAGCTACTTAGTACGGCTATTTGTACACTGCAGTGATAGTTGATTCTGCAGACAGCGGTATTCAAATGTTCCAGATCCAAGTCTAGTCTGACATTATTGAAATTCTTCCTACATATCTGGTATGAGAGCTGAGAATTTTGAGGGAAATTACGCATGTTAGATAAGCCAAGTAGGTAAGGTATTCCTTATGGAACTAAAGAAATAACCTGTTTGAAAGAATAATTTGGAGTAAAGATAAGCTGAACTCTGTAGATAAAAGAAACAGGTTTATTTTCTATAGTACCAATTTGTAAAAATCAGGAGAATCTTTAATATTTGCATAGATGCAATTACTGCTGTTTGTGATACCTGTTAAAAGAAAAGCTGTCTCTTTTGCTGCTTATCTGAAACAGCTGCAGTGTTTCTGTTCTTACATTATTTCTGACTACCTCTACAACATTAATTTTCTGATTACTTTCTTTAACAGTAAGGTTTCTTTTAAAGAACAGATGGTCATTAGTCATTCTTTGAGAGTCGTTTTTGTTAAATCTGTCGTGGTCCTGCTGGTAAAAACAGAGTAATTGTTTCTAACTCTGTAGTGATTCTTTGGTCCAGTTTTAAATTACTCTGGAATGTTCACTTTTCTCTTTTCCATGGCATAAGCAATTCTGAACACAAAATACCCTCTTTTCTAAACCTCTTGTGTATGAATACTGTACTTTATATATGCCTGTGCATGTGAAAATATATTATAAATTGAGGTAGGGATGCACATTGACCTTCCATCCCACGGTACTGAAGTGATTGGTCCGTGCTCTGTGCTGGGGATTTTTAGGACAAAAAAAGTTCCAGCCAGTCTTGTGGTGGTACATGACCAGTCTTAATGACGTGCCGTAAATCAACACAGAAGAGCCTGGAACAGAAGGAGGTCAAACCACATTGAATTAGGAAGTAAGTAAAACAACATTCCTCCCAGCTGAAGGAGACTTGGAAAAAAATAAACATTATCATCAGAATTGGTCAGAGCTTGGTCACAACTGTGGAATAAGCCTTTCCTCTTTTCTGTAAGATGGGAAAGGACCAAGTAGTCTGTATTCTTGAAACAGCTCACTGCCTACTTAACACTTTACTTGAAATATTTCTTCAGCTTGACTTGGAGGGAAGAGTCGTCCTTGAATCAGCACCCCTCCTGTCCCGTGCAGTAAGGATTTTGCTTATTAGGAGTTTCAGAGGGACTGTTGGATTGTGTTTGTCTCTGTTGTGAGGACCATGCTTGCTTTGTAGAGCAGTTTATAGTGCAAGTGTGTATATCACTGTGAGATCTCTTAAAAACAAGAAAAAGAGTAGACTTTATCTTGCCACGCTGTGAGCCAGACAAAGTTCTGTATCTGTACATATGAGCATTTGTGCATCTACCTTCACACCATTGCAAATTAGAGATCGCACTCTGGCTCTTACTTCATTTTGTTCCTTCTAAAGCCACATTCTTACACAACACTTTTGTTGTCTTGAACACAGACCTTTCCACACTGATAGGCTTGTTTTATAATATAAATATATATGTATATAAGTATATATTTGTATACATATAAGCCTATATCCCCAAAGGATATAGAGCAAAGTAAAGATTGAGAGATTTCTCACTTGGTCCTTAGTATCTTTAACAAACCTAGTCAGTCATGGTGCCAAGGGAACTGTAAATGCAGAATTAACATCTTTTTACAAGAATTTGCGTTTATTAGTAGCAATAGATAACATGAACAAAATGAGTCTCTTGCAAGCTTGCTTTTTACTCTGTCTTTGAAAAAATGGGAGGCCAGTTATGTTTCCATTGTTATTTCTATCAATAACTATCCTCCAGTATTTATTTATTTTCAGTTCTGTTTTTACTTGGGCTTTTAAGATTGTGTGGCCTAATAAATGCCTTTTTACATTTCAACGGATTACCTGTATAGCATACAGGTAGAATTTCCAAACTTTTTATCCCATAAACTTTTGCTCTAAATAATTATAAATGTTATTTATGTGGCTTATCCTGCAATAACTGTTCATGGGTGCTGCCATAGAGATAAGATCTTTGATGTGAATGTTTCAGCACCCAATAAAAGCAGATTGAACTTGGAATGTGTTAGAAACTACTTCCTTCATTTTTGGTGCTATTTATACAGTCAGTAACTTTTTTAAGGTAGTAGTTGTCTGTGTAGTAGAGGATACTGGAGTTTTGGACAGCCAAGTAAAATATTCTAGAATTCTTGTAATCATTGGTGAGATTAATTTCTTTCCAATATGTGGGGGAAATGGTTTAGTGTTCCTGTGTCTCTGACTAGTCATAGTAAGAAGGCACATCTCCGGCAGCCAACACAGCAAATCCTTAGAACTTCCCTGTAGTTACATCCTGCGCGCTACTCTGTTCAGGGTTTTTCCATCAGCAAAGTGCTACTTTTTAAAAAAAAAATACATCTTGATTTACAAATAGTTTATGTAATTCCTGGTATTTGAAGAAGCTGGTTTCTTATCAAAGCTTCCCTGTGGTCTCAGGGAGGGGGGGCAGTGAGTAGAAATGGCTGGCAACTGTGCATCTGCTTTTTAAAAGAAAATGTAAATCTCTCGTGGTCATTTGGAGACATTTTAATCTCTTTGGAGTTGATGAGCCTTTCTTTTACAATAGTTTTGATATTTCAGCAATATCTGCAGTGCATATAAGGGGACTAATCTACCTCTCTACTATGAAAACTATATTTTATTACTATTCTTTCCTTTTTTTTAATGTAAGGTTATATTTAGACTATATTATCACTATCTTAAGGTGACATAATTCAGAAATTTTTTTTTCTAATTAACTTCCAGATTAATGAATTTCTAAATTGATTTCAGAACTGACCTTCTCATTTTTAGATTGATATTCCCCTTTTGGATTTTTGGTGGAATTACAGTCTCAGAACTGAGCTTTCAGAAGAAGTTAATGTGAAAAATGGTATAGCACTTTGTAACAGCTAAGGAAGATGCAATAAAATACAGACAAATGATTGTCTACTTAAAAGTTTTTTGCAGCTCTGCAACAGAGTGGAAATCAAATGTGATGGTGATTGGTTGAGTGTTGATTGACTTGAACAAAAATTTACAGCAATTAGTTCTGGTTAACTATACAGTCTTGCCCGAGTCATAAAACCTTTAGGATTTGCTGAATTTCCTGAACAACTGAGTGAAGATTTACATTACTCTTATCTGCATTTTTTTCTCTCTGACAGCAGTTTAATGACAAGTTCTTGTTCATCTGATGACATTGATCAGGATGAAATCCAGCTCGCTTTGCAGGCTGCTAAAATTGCCACACGAGAAAAGATCAGATCCAGGTTTCATGGAAGTAATGATCTTATTCACCGCCTTTTTGTCTGTATCTCAGGTAGGAGAGGAACCTTTTGTTCTGAATGTAAAAACTACTCTTGTTGCAGGAAGACTGTGTTTTGGGGCCTAAGTTGCAGACTGGTCTAGAAAGACGTGTTACGTGACAGGAACTTACAGAATCAGAGATGCAGACATTTAGACACATGGTGATGAAGAGTTTGGGCATGGAACATGGATTGGCTTCAAAGTACTTAACTTTTTCTTGGTGATGCCTTACGTGTTCAAGGGAAGATGCAGTAGTTGTATTTTGATGCAAAAGGAATCTCTTGGTAAGGACGAGAAAGACATTAACAAATTACAAGTAGCATAAAGGGCAGAATGTAGCCTGGCCATTATGAAAATCAGTTTGTTTAAATGTACAATTTTTATTCTTAACACAAGCAAGTGATCCCCTCAAAAATAAATGAGGCCACTACTGGTAGCAACAGGCTACTTTAAATAGGCTTTTTAAGGATGGTACAATAATCCAGTAATGATTTGCTCGTTTTCTTGAACTCCTAGGTGTTGCTGACCAGCTGCAGACAAACTATGCTAGTGATCTGAGAAGTATCTTAAAGACCTTGTTTGAAGTTATGGCAACCAAACCCGAAACAGAGGACAAGGAAAAACAAAAGAAAGGTAAATAGATCTAAAGGTGTGTTTTCTCTAGTGAATTTCTGGTGGTAGCTCCATGGGGATCCATGGACTATTTGACAACAATGTCCTTAACATTGTTTTGACTTTTTGACCAGACTTGCTGTACTGTGAATTGACCTAAGTTTAAAAAAAGGTCATGTAAGCAGACTATAAGTGGTTGGACTCACTGGCCATATATAGGTACACAGGAGTGTGTCTTGAGACAAATATTGAAAGAGTTAAAGCCTTCAGAGAGCATCTGCTTGTTTCCATGTTTGTGTGTATAACGGTATTGGTAGCCCGTGTAGTCACAGCACAATGCATACAGGGTTTGGACTTCTTCCTGTCCTGTGTCCCCCAGTATTGTTTCACACTGGATGCATTTTAATTTACCAAGATGTGTATTTTTTATTCTGAAGTTTAAATAGCTGTGTAGAAAGAGCAGACTGTAAGGTGAGAGAATGCACAGTAAGATACTGAAATCTGACCTGTCTTGAAATTACAGAATCCTGAATTTGTTTTCAAAGTAGAAAAATACCCAGTTTTGAATTCTAGATAGTTAAGTTAATGGACCGAGAACTAGCTCATGAGCTATGCAAGAGATTATTTTTTTCCTCTGTCACTATTGTGATTATTTCTTTTTTGAAGATGCAAGTCTGCTAACGTATCTAAAAATAACTGTGTCATCCCAGCAAGACTGTAATTACCTTTGTCCTTTGCTGTGATTAGAACTATCAGCATCTGAAAATGATCAGAGTTCTCTTTTGTTATGGATTTTTTTTTTCTCCCTTTCCTCATGATTGAAAACTTTTGTTTTCCTTTTCTCCCAGTTTCATTTAAAAGCATTTAGGATTTTATATGGAAGACTAAGTTAAAAGTTGATTAAAGTTAGCAGAAAAACCTCCAATCCAATGCAACTCTGCACCAGGATAATTCACAACATGCATTACAGTCCTTTATTATTTGTGGCTGAAAGCTCCACAACATTTTTGTGGATGTCATGATGTGAAAAGAGCCTTTTTTTTTAAACTGGCAAAAAAATATGAGGTTATACAGAATCGCTATAGAGGATCACAGATCTCCTGAACATTCAGATAAGAGAAATGAATTAACTAGAGCTCTGAAGAATAATCACTAGGAAATATAGGTTAGTCAACAGTACTTGGTTGGAACAGTTTCTAGTGGATGAACTATTACATTGAAAAAAAAAAAAAAGTGTTGACATAAGCAAGCATAAATAAAAGAAGTGAATAAAAGTCAGGAACTTTTTGGATTAAGTTTCTCTTTGGTACGTGTGATTTGATATGTGTGATTCACCTAAGGAATCTCTGGTTGTTCTCATAATATACTTTTTTGTAAAGGATCCAAGCTAAGAATTGGAAATAAAATACAGGTGCTAGAAGTAGTAAAATTAAACTGCTAGAAGTAAGAGGGCTGTATGTCCTGTACTAACAGCATCTTTTATTTCTCCTGTCATTCCAAAGAAACAAAAAGGAGACTTTTAAATCACTGTTTTTGTCAGGGTAAAGAAAAAGCAAGAAGTCTGAGAAGGTACATATAGGTGCAACTGTATTCTAAACCCAGAAATCCTAAAAAGAATATTTTAAGTGCAAGTTAGAAAAATATGAATTTGAGATGCTTTTGGTTTGTTTTACAGTTAATCAGGGCTTGAGGAGTGCAGCACTGGAAGACTGTGCATTATGTCAAGAAAGTATATCATCCTCAGAACTTGCAGCAAAAGCCAGAGATGGGGACTTTGAAGGTACTTTCTTTTTTTCTGAGAATTAGAATTAGACAACTGTGTATAAAAAACAATCAGTAAAATGAAAAGAAAATGTTTAAAATTTGGCTCTAGAAAGGGACTATAAAATGCTGTCATAGTATGTTTAGAGACAAAGTCAGATGATAAACTGAGCATATTTCTTTCAGGTTGTTTTTTTTTCCTAACAACCTCATGAAACTGATCTACAAATTGTCATATACAGTATGAATTCCTTTGTGTCAGTGGAGAAGGATTCTGTATACTAATGGCTCTAATATAGTGTATGACATTACATCTGACAAGTTTGAGGGCTGCATAAGATGCAAAGCCTTAAGTAAGGTCTTCTCAGCCAAAGCTAAAGAGATCTTTTATATTATTTGCTTTACGTGGCAGTGCTACTTTTTTTTTTTCCCACAATAGAAGTACCTTTTATATTTTCTTCACTTTTATCTTTAATCAGAATATTTTTGTTATTATTTTCATGCTCTTCACTATATTACTTCAAGGAAAAAGTTTTAGGTAATTCTGCTGAGTTACTCAAATCTCACTGAAAACACAGTAAGACCAAAGAAAAGTGTGTATGTAAGTATCGAAGTTTTGGTCAGGATTCAGGTATTGCAAGAGCTCAAAAGTTTTTGTTTCTCTTTTTTTAATCTGAGCTGCTGCGGGCACTTAGGAGTCAGCCATGGACTATAGCTCTAGTATGGTAAACATTGTATAAAAAATGGATTAAAAGGGCACTTGCAATCAAAGAATAAGAGAAAGTAGATGAATGAGGTGGAGCAAACAAGAAGGCAGTCAGCTTTGATCTTCAGGGCTGAGTGGTGGTTTCAGCACTCCAAGAGCCCAATTATCAGAGCAGTGGTATCTCTGTGGTCAAATGAGTAATACAAGACAACCGTCAACTGTGAAACTGTATCTCAGCTTTCCAGAAATTCAAGTGTGCAGTAATTTTCCTGTGTTTTAAAACTTTGATCTACTGTTGTCTATTTGTCCACATACACTACTGTTCTTCCTGAGAGAGGTTTTGAATGCAGGATGACTGAAAACTGATTGATAAGCAGGCTGTGTCTCTGCTTTTATGTGGAGAGGGTGACCAGCAGAAAACAAATACTGGCTCATGTCACTTGTAATAAAGATCAGAAATCACAGGAGGGGGGAGAAAAACCCTATTAGATTAGATTTTAGAGTAATGCTACATATTTATGAGTTATTTTGTGCTTATAAAAAAACCTTGCTCACCCTTCTTCTGAAGCTGCAGGCTAAAGGATCTCAAATCTAATCTATTTAGAACAGTGGGGCTAATTCATGTATAATGCACTGTAGAAATATCTTTCTGGTGGAAAACGATTTGATGACAGATAAAGAACTATTCAATAGTAATTTTAATTGATTTTTCTATTGTGCCGTAATTCAGAATGTCACAAAAGGTGCAGTAAAGAACAAATCTTCAAGCAAAATCCTTACAATGTATAGGTTATATTGGAAAAGCATGCAAGAGATTTTTCGTTCTCTACTACTTCAGTTCATATTCTTTTGTTTTGAATCGATGCCTGATGCTGTCACTGAATTTGACTTAAGGAACTTGAAAGCAAGTTATTCTGAATTGCAGGATGCTGAATAACCTTCTCACAGTGGATGTACATTTTGTCATGTCAAAGTCACTTCTCTTTCCCAGCATGTTTTTTCAGCTTTTAAGGTTCTTCAGCTTTTCATGGCATCTTCTATTGACAGGGGAAAAGTTTTATGTTTGGAGAGGTGCAGCCTGTGGTTTGAGATGTTATTTATTGAAATAGAAGACAATGGTCTGAGTGTTTAGGTGATGTTATGAGTGCAGTAAAGAGAATTTTCTGAGTTACAAGGGCCTGTGCAGCAGCCAGGCAGTGTGAATCAGTTACCATTCACTTAGGCCAGGGATTTAAAACCCAACCTATAGTATTAATAGCATATGCAGATAACTACAGCAGAAACAGCCTCCTGCCTGCACCTTTGCTCTGAAATAGCAGGTATTTCACATACGCCTGCATGATGGAAAGCAGATCCTTGTGGGAAAACCCATTCCTTTTTTAATAAGTAGGCTTGGGTGTCAGAATGAGCTTGACTGCCTTGGCACGATGTTTTCCCATGCTAACACGTCCTCTAAACAGAGTCGGTTAGCCCATGCTCCTGCAGCAGATACTCTGCCCTTGATACCTGTGCTTGCTCACTGAGAAGGCTTGAGCATGTCCAAATCAGTCTCCTTGCAGACTTTCTCTGGGGGTCTTACTTGGCTGATGTGTATGTGATTGTACATACCTACTTGTCCAAATCAGTACTGCTCCTACGACTGTGTAAACTAACTGGTGTAGTCTGCTGCTACTTAGTCGTCAAGTTTGCTAATGGACAGGCATCTGGGGATCATGGCGATGAGCTCTACCTTCCAAATCCGAGCAAACCACAAAGTCTAAAAAAAAAAATAAAATCTGAAGTGAGTTAATTTGTTGAGTTGATGGGAACTGTAGAAACACCCTTTCTGTCCTCTTATCTCCATTACATTACAGACTTCTGTCCCTTCAGGTCACAAGTTGTCATTGTTGGCCGCACTGTACAGACTTCCTTTTTCTACTGAGTTCTGCAGCAATAGCTAATGGGATACATGTTTTTGCTATCTCTAGCGCATCCAGCATGAGGCATAAACTTATAGCGTCCACGTGCCTTTTCCCCCTTAGAGCACCTCCCCACCTGCCTCATTTCTGCTGGCCAACATAGAATCAGCAGCCCCTGACTTGGGGTGATGCTTGGGTGCAGGTGGAAGATGGCTGGTGGTTAAGGCAACTTTTGCTGCATGACTATTGTGTCGTTTCTTGCAGCGAGCCTGATGGGTTTTTCCCCCTGGCCAAATTTGGGCCACAGGCCCCCAGCAGAAGGACACCACAGTCATCACTGTAAATGGATTCAATGCAAAGTCTTGAGGGTGTTGTGCCAGTCTATTGACAGCATTGCACCAAAATTAATTATATTTTTTGTACATAATTTCAGTGCTTCCAGTCACTCCTCATGATTTCAGCTAAAAATGAACACATTTTCAAGTAAAGGAGCATGTCGGTAGCTCCTCCCTTCTGCTAGTGTGGCAGAATACGAGCATGTATTAAACTGAGAAAGTACAGCAAACTACCTGCCAGAAAAGCTTTTTCCAATTATCACATAGATCCCTCTTACCAAAAGTACTGAATATTTAAGATTGCATCCAATCAATGGTAACAAGAAAAAGAAAAAAAAAAAAAAAGACAAGCCCAGCAACCTGTACAAATAAACAGATTTTAAGATTCTACTGAAGGTTCCAGCCTCTACTGAGATTATGAAGATGAATCACATGTTTTTGTCAGCTTTCTCATTCTTACTGTATATAAAACCCAACAGCTGGTCTGGGTCGTAAAGCAAACATGAGTGTTTATTATGAGCCAACTGACATTGGCAAGGGTGTAAACGTTAAATCTTGTGACCTTCTAAAGGTTGAAATACAATAAACTACAGATAAATTGGCATTCTAAAAGAAAAGCATTTTTAGAAGGACAGATGAGCCTGTGGTGTGTATTTTCTTCTTTGTTATCCTAATGGTCTGGGACTTTTTTTTTCAAGGAAGTGTATATATTTATACTTTATAAATAGCACTGTATTTTTAAAGGGAGAGAATGCAAAGCAAATACATTTATATTTTGCTAGAACACAAGATAAATTTATACAGGAGGTTCTACAAAAACATTAGGAAAATGTTTTACACTGTGAGGATGACAGAGCTCTGGAACAAGCTGCCCAGGGAGACTGTGGAGTCTCCTTCTCTGGAGACATTCAAAACCCTCCTGGACGTGTTCCTGTGTGACCTACTGTAGGTGATCCTGCTCTGGCAGGGGGGCTGGACTAGATGATCTCCAGAGGTCCCTTCCAACCCCTGACACTCTGTGATTCTGTGTAATATTCCATAAATGAGTTTTAACTATAGTAAAATTTCATGCCCTGGTGGTACAATGGAGAAAATGGCCATTAGAGACAAAGTTCTGTGTATAAACTCGAAGCAAATTGTAGTGAAAGCTGCTCAGAAAAAAAGCAGGTTGGGCTCTTTGCTACAAGGGGTGCTTACTGGCCATAATGGATTTGCTGTGACTGCCAGTACAAATATCTTTTTGTGCCAAGTGGTATTAGCATGTTTGCTGCACAAGAGCACGTTATTTCTCCTTGATTCCTTTCCATCTTGTAGTATTCCTGCCCACCCACTTTTGGCTAGTCAAGTCCTCACTGCTCTCCAACCAGCAGCATGAGCACAATTCAGTAATTTATGGTCCCAAGTCACAAGCACTTGTTCTTGTTGCAATAAGAAGTTACAAGGTCAAGAAAAATTGGCATTGTGCAGAATCTAAGCACTGTGAGTCTGGAATTAGCTGTCAACCTTTGAGCAATTTTACTTTTGTCATAGAATCATAGAATGTTTGAGGTTGGAAGGAACCTCTAGGGATCATCTAGTCCAACTCTCCTGCCAAAGCAGGATCACCTGGGCCAGCCACACTGGAACTCATTCAGGTGGGTTCTGAAAGTCTCCAGAGAAGGAGACTCTGCAACCTCTCTGGGCAGCCTGTGCCAGGGCTCTGTCACCCTCACAGTGAAGAATTTTCTCCCCAATGTTGAGGTGGAACTTCCTATGTTCTAGCTTACATCCATTATTCCTTGTTCTATTACTGGGCACCAATGTGAAGAGACTGGCACCTTCCTCTTGACACCCACTCCTCAGATATTTATATACATTAGTAAGGTCCCCCCTCAGCCTTCTCTTATCAAGACTAAACAGCTTCGGCTCTCTCAGTCTTTGTTCGTAGGAGAGGTGTTAGAGTCCCTTGGTCATCCTTGAAGCTCTTCATTGTACTCTCTCCAGTAGGTCCCTCTCTCTCCCGAATTGGGGAACCCAAAACTAAACACAGTATTCCAGGTGTGGTCTCACCAGGGCAGAGCAAGAGGGGGAGAAGAACCTC